CTCGGGGCGCTCGCCCGGCCCCGCCGCCACCGGCCCGCACCGGCCCTCCGTCCTCCGCCCCCGCTCTCACCCGCCCGCTCCCCGCCACCCGCGGCTGAGCTCCGCAGCACTTTGGGCGCGCCCCGCACTCGCGGCCACCCCTGGCCCCTTACCGATGTGGTTGTCCTCGATGTGCTCGATGAGGTCGGCCAGGGTGGGGAAGTGCAGTCCGCAGCCCCCGAAGCGGCAGGTATTGGAGAAGAAGGAGGCGGCGGCGATGCCTGTCATGGTGCTACATCGAGAGCCCCCCTGGAGTCGGCTCTGCGAGCGCCGGGCGGGCGGGCGGGCGGAGGGAGGGAGGCCGGGAGGGGGGAGCAGAGGAGGGGCTGGGGGAGGGGGCAGAGGCGCGGGGAGGGCAGTGCGGAGGACGGGACGGAGGGAGAGGGGGCGAGCGATGGAGCTGAGCGCGGAGCCACCGGGAGGCAGAGGGGAGGCGGCGGCGGCGGGAGCTTGGGGGGAGGGGGGAGGCCTCCGCAGCTGGGAGGAGGGACCAGGACGCGCGGCCACAGCTGTGCGGCCCCAACCTCGCTCCGGACCCAGGCCTCACCTGGCAGCGCCTGCCTCCAACTTTGTCCTCCTCGGCCTGCCCTTCCCAGTTTACCATGCATGCAGTCTGTTTGGAGCCTCCTTGGTTATGTACATTACATTTTTAATAGATGCACATCTATTAATTACACATACTTCGCTGAGATGAGCACTCCGGGAGTTACCAGGCCCCTCTCAGGGACATTTGTTTGCACTTGGCAACCTGTGTAAGTGTGACAATGACATTCACTAGGGACTCAGGAAAGGTAACTGTGTGCACCTTATTCTTTAAACCTTCTCATTAAAAAAAAAAAAAAAGCCCATATTCTCTAGAGGTTTGTACTAATTGATTTTAATGACGCTTTCCCTCTAGGCCAGAAGAAAATCTTAGCTTTATTTAAATTTCAAAATAGAGTTCTTGGTTGTCAAGTGCATTTACCTCTGTTTTATATATGTAGCACTGTTTGTTCCCCCTGAGAAAACAAAAACTCAAATAATTTCCTTAGCCCAACTTACAGCACCTCACTTCACCCACTTCCATGTCTCATGCACAGTAATTGACCAACCTGTGTGTCTCTCCACAGTACAATGATTTAGCTTGGAACAGAAACAGTCAAGAGACATACTGGTTTTCACTTGAAAGTGAAGATTTCTGCAGTCCTTCAGGATCATACCGTCATGTGAGCATTTAAACCATAATGCTGACCAGTTAAGCTATTATCCCCACAACCAGCTGCAGTCATATTTTGCCTACAAAGTATATATTTTTCCAGTAACACTTCCAGGTGCCTAAGGTACATAATACATTATGATCCAAGAGTGCGTTCTTAAAAAAAATTAATGCATTCATCCTGAATTTAACATTTTTCCTTAGGACAATTTCACTTACCCTCTGGTAAATGAATACACCTAGAAAAAATGTTATTCCTCCCTTTTAAAACTATATGCATCACTAATATTGTTTCTAATAATAGAGTTGTTAAGGCGTTTCAAGTAAGTTTAAGCACAGGCCTACATAGCATTTCTGTCACTGAAAAGCTTTACACTCTCACAGTCACAGAAATTGGGCCTGAGTTTTCTCACCCATGACTTTTTCTCTTCTGGCCCATCACTTCTGTCTTTCAGCTTACAAGGTGATGGATTTGCTAAGGTGAGAATTGAACTGTGTGGGGCTGGGACAGTGTGTCATTAAAGTTCAGTTTGGAGCCAGGAATAATTTCCTGGGACATAATAAGAGAGGAGAGAAGAGTGCCAGAGGTCCTGATGAGCCAGGGACCCATTGGCTGGAGAACCAGCCAAGGCCAGACAAGGGTCTAAAGAGCAAGAGTTAGAATTCTAGATCTTGAATTAGAATATTGGCAACTGGCAGTGTGCTTAGCTGCCCATTGGGGAAGGCCTTTAGCTGGGAGCAGGAAGAGTATCTGGCAGATACACATTGCATCCAGTGACATGGAAATGCACTGCGAAAACTTCAACCAAGAATGATGCCAAAACAGCCTCCCCAGAGATGTTAGGCACCCCCACTCTGTAGCAGCTGGGGAGCGCCCTGAGCTTTGAGGTAGAAACTCTGCTCTCAGAAGGAATGACTGTTGAGGTGGAATTCTCAACTCAGGAGAGTGTAGAGCAGCCCAGAGGTGGCATAGGCAAGGGAGCTCATCCGTGGAAAGTGCCAGGGGTGTGCAGGTGAAAGGTGAAGGCCGGAAGGGCTGGGTTTCATGAGTGCATAGCACTGTACTCCCTCCATTCTCTACCACCTCCTTATCACAAGCTATGACCTTGAATGTAAATGCTTGGTAGGCAAATTGAACACATTGATTTTTTTTTAATGAAAAGAACCAAAGTAGCTCATGAAAATCATAATTTTTAAAGTTATTTTGAGATAAGGTCTTACTATGTGGCTCTAGCTAGCCTGGAACTCACAGAGATCTCCCTGCCTCTGCTCCCCAAGTGTTGGGAGTATACCACAACACTGAGCGCATAATGTTTAAGACTTAAAATTATTTTCTGTGTGTGATGTTTTATAAGGGATCAGTATACTTTTCATGGGTTGGCCCACCCTTATGATGTCTTTATCTATGATGGAAGCTTTGCTTATGTGTCACTCTGCTCACCTTTGTTGATTGGCACACAGGTGCCTCAGGTAAACTGAGGCAGAGGCATTATGAAGCCTTTTGCATGTGCACCCAGCCAGTTTCTTGACAATACTCAGCAAAGCATTAATAGCCAATAAACTGACAAAGATATAGTAACCACAGACAAACAAAAAATTGCTTTACAGTGAGTGGCATGCTCACTTTCAGTGTACTTACATTAAATGCTTGTTGCAAGAGTGTCTTTTTAGATAAAGTCCGTATCTAGGCTACAAAAATATATAAACCAAATACTTCAACCTATTTTTGCAAGAGAAAATGGTGACTGATATACTGCCCTTCTTGAGAAAACATTTATCTCTCTTGTTTAAGGAGTAAAACTATCTCTAAGGACAGGGCAGCGAGAGAGCTGGAAAGTCAGATAGGAGAGTGACCGTGGACTAGAAGCATTCCTGCCTTTAACACTCTGTATTTGGAAACTACTGGCCTCTCCCTGGAGTATTTGCACTTCAGTGTATAGGCTGGCCAAGCATGGATGTATAGTGGTCCTGTAGAATTGGGCTCAGCACTGCAGGTAAGTTGTTATCCAGCTACAGTCTCCCAAAATTCAACATAGCCTGGTTCCTCATGATGGGGCAGGCTGCCAGCTAGGTAGGAACTCACTGGTATCATGGAGCTACCAGAAGCCACCAGAAGATCTGCTTCATGCACTGTTTGGTTTCCACACAGGGCTCAGTTAATTTCAAGGTACTCTGATAACCAAAAGGGTGCATTTCTACCCTTTGATGTCCCATAGATGTCCTATGTGGGCATCTGTTAGTTCTTGCTATAAGAGGGACTGTAAGAACACCAGGCTTCTGTTTTAAGTCTAGCTCCCTGTGTTGCCTTCAACCTTCTGGCTTTGTGGGTCCCTTCTCAGTGCTCCTGAGGCGCATTCCAGGTTTCCTAGCTACAGCCTTCTGAATGACTTGGGGAACACTCCTTTCACCCCCACCTCTGTGAAGACTGAGTTGGTCTTGAGCTCAGATCTCCTTTAGCTCAGGCAAGTCTATGGCCACCTGTAAGGCCAGATGCTTCACAGCTCTTTAAACCTCAGGCCGTGCTTCTCCCAATACTAGCTTCTCCTCAGGGATGGATGTTTCCATTAGGCCCTGGCTTCTTCCAAAGAGGACAATAGGTATTCTAAACTTTTTAACTGAACATTAATGCAAGTGAGTCCTCAAGTTCCTTGTATTGATCTTATTCCATTCCAGATATGAGTCTGCTTGGTGGTAGAGAGCTTGCCTGATATGCACAAGGCCATGAGTTTGAGCCCTACCACCACATATAATAAAGGAATCGACTTTATTCACTCCATGATGATTAGTTTTCAGACAGTTCCCCAGTCGTGTTTTGTATAGAATTAAGGAGACTAGGGAGATGGCTCAGCAGTTAAGAGCATTGGCTGCTCTTGCAAAGGACCACATTCAATTCCCAGAGCCCACATGGCAGCTCACAACTGTCCTAACACCAGTTCCAGGGGATCTGACGCCCTCTTCTGACCTCTGCTGGCATTGCATGACATGGGTACACTTACTTCCATGTAAGCAATATACTCATACACATAAAATAATTAAAATAGAATTAAGGATTGGATTTAGAAAGAGTAACAAATTATCTTCTGAATCACCACAGTGACCTTTATGAACTTCACCCCTTAGTGCTCTACCTGGCAGCTTCTGCCCTGCTTACTGTTCATTTCCAGGTTCCCTGAGACTTCTGCAGAACTGAATCAGGAAAAGCCCCAGCCATTTATTACAGTTCTAGCTGAGCCATCTGGGTCCATGCCACCACCCAGATGATAGCTCTGAACCCATCTGAATGTAACAACTGCTTCTCAGGCCAGTGCAGACAGAGGTTTAAATAAGGTTCATAAGAGCCACCAAGCAATTGCTGTTTCATTCAGTGACATGTCTTGGTTGAACCTCTAGGCAAGATTCCTATTGCAGAGCTCCAGGGAAGTACATGAAGGACAGTCCCAGGATTCCTGTATCCTGGAAGTTCTTATTCATGAGTAAGATGTGAGAATCGCAATGTGAATAGGACAAGTATAACCTCTCTTCACATAGGACTACCAGGTGCTTTGCAAGGTCACTTTAAGTAGGTCCCAGGAGCCTTCTGGGGTGGCTCAGTTGATTCCTGTACTGTCCTGTCCTCCTGGCTGCTTTGCTGTCTTTTTTTTCCCCCTCTTTTCCAACTTAGCCTCACTCTGGTGATAAATCCTGTTGCCCTTGGTACCATTAAGACACCAGTGCTTGTCAAAGACTGCATAGTATTTTTGCCCAAAGTCATGTCTGTGTGTCATTGATGATTACCAAGCAGTGCATGATTCAGGATTTTTATCCCTTTCAAAGTTTCCAGCACTGCTTTTATCCTGAATCTTTGTGATTTCACCAACTCCTACTATTGCAATCTGTTCCTTCCAGGCCTCAGGCAGGTGTCAGTAGGGGACTGGGTTAGAGGACCAAGTTGGGCGCACTGGTCCATGATTTCATCTCCCAGGCTTCAGTCCTTTAGCCGTAACTTCATTCTCAGAATCAGCTTCTTTCTCTGCGGTGGCTTTGATAACCCGTCTCTGCAGAAGCCTCCCAGTCCCACTGCCTACAGTTCCCCACAGCTCAAGACGGGCCAAATCCTTGCA